TCACCCTTCGACATCTTGATCTCGTGAAGTTTCCTGCGCATTTTTACCCGGTCATGGTTACTGGGCCTCAAGAAGAAGTTATTGAGCAATTCCCATGCTTGGGCAGTCGACAGTGCATTGCGCACCATCGACTGTAGGGTAATACTGATCATCGTTGTGATCGTTGCGAAGGCCTTCATGTTGTTGACCTTCCATTCTAGCGCTTGGGCGCTTTCGTCACTCGGGGCCTTCGTTGTGTCGATACTGGTCAAGAGACCCTTCTTCTCAAGCTTTATTCAAGCGTTGAACTCCCACACGATGTAGTTATCTTTGCGGGGTAGATCGCCTGCGTCGTTGGTACTTAGGCTCATAACCTCTTGATATAATGTTGAGGAGACTGTTGGTTGAGTGAGAAAAAAGGAAAAGTAATTGGTTAAAGTACATCCTTCATATGCAGTTTAAACCAATGGTTCCTAGCCCACTGTTGCAGTTGAACTTCACTTGCTTCAACACCAACCTGATACTGGTTCTGGTCCTGTTCAACAAATGCAAGTTGCCAGAGTACCCTTTTACGTCAAATGCCTTAGGCTCTGAACAAAAAGATAAGGCCGTGTAGGCGATTGGTGAGAGTTGTGTCTGTAGCGTCCCGTGACTAATTAGCGGTCAAATTGAAGGAAAAAAAAACACAATCGAAATAACTGGAGCTGATCCAAAGCTTAGTGGTCGACAGCGCATAACCGATAGCCGGCTATCTTGTGACTCCAACGCCCAACCTGTTGCAAGTGATAAATTTCTGCTAAGCCGTCTCAGTGACGTGGCAACGTGTATCGGACTGAGGTGGATCGATTTTCTTGGTAAAAGCATTTTTTGGAATACTTCGAAGAGTCGCTACAACGGATAAGCAATGTCGTAGCGAGATCAAAACATTACTGACATGCATCTTTTGATGCAACAGTCTACATATAGGTATCTGTCAAGCACGGTGTCAGTCTCCACAACCGGACGGCGCCGTGCTCGTTAGACTTTTTCCAGTACATGCCCCGTTGCGTTGTTGCACTGAGGACGAACACCAAGCTGTCTCTTCGCAGATCGGTTCGAGACTTATGAACGACAGAAGCGTATCGACACGCTTACAACGCAACCAACAAGATGAGTCCGTGCAATCGAAGTCCGTGCAATCGAAGTGTCGCGCACCTTGATGTACTAACTCGAGAGCTCGCATTTTTTATCAACATATGTATATAGACGATGTTCGTACGTTCTACCAGCGAGCAAAACCAATAGCCTCTCACGTAAACTACCTACTCACTTCTTCTTTTCTAGTTCGACATCTTGTCTTTTAGAGCTTAAACTTAATATATTTGATTTCAATGTTTGATAATAAAGCTATTTATATCACTTGAGGTGGGTGAGGTAAACAGCCTATGTGTCCCAAGGATCTCCCAATTACCAACTGCCCCACAGATCTCACTATTACAGAGTCCCACCGTATTCATGAGTTCCAATTCCTCTCAACTTCGGTTCTGAACTGCTGCACAAGAGTGGGAAGTAGTTTTACGTACATTTGGACAAAAAATTATTATGTCTAATTGTTCCGAAGTGCAAAATGTACGTATACAATTGTACGTTAAGCAACCCACTACATTTCTCCTAAAAGATACAGCACTGATTTTGTTTCGACAAGTGCGTAAAAATGAGCGCTCAACCAAGACACGCTGCACTTTAAGTTCCACTCCATCACTTTCCTTTTACAACGTCTGCCATCAATAGCCTTAACCGCAAATCTTTCTCTGCCTTTACCTATTGCTTAGCAAGCCGATGCGGTCTTTTGCAGCCGAAGAACCTGATGCAAAGGGGTCGAGATGTTCTCAAATGAAAGCGCTCACATAAACCCTTCAAACCTTCATCCAACAACTCTGATCTCACCAACAGACATACACTAAATCCAACCATTGAGAATTTTTTTTAACGCACCGTCTCTTCTCTGCAAGAATTGCGCATTCCGTTTATATTTGCGAAAGCGAAAACGTCAATAACTCCACCACGGAGCCTTAAACAACTTGGTTCTGATGCTCTGATCTTATCTCGCTAACCCGAAATTGCCCATTCCGAGGCGAAGTAGTCACATCGACTTTCCATACTCAATCACGTCATGATAACGGAGTCAATCAGCCAAACTTGTTCCAACGACGGGAAGTAGCCCCTACACGCCAATCCTTCTGACTACACCACGAGTTAAAAAGCGATAAACTGTCACTTCGCATGCTTTTCTGACCTCTCAGGTTGCCACTCCATTAGAGTACCGCCTGCGCCTGGAGCAACATTTCTCGACTTAACTCGTGCCCTGCACCGAATGTGCTGCAGGTTGGCAAAATTGCCAAAGGCCCAGTGAGAGAGATGCATCACTTTGCCCTTACTATAACACTGCGAGCCAAACCATAAACCAGACGTTTGACAAAACATTATTCGTTTCTTAACTTGTGAAGAAAGAACCTGTGGTAGGCGTCGAGATAAATCTTTTCACCTCAAGTTCTTGCTGTCAAGTAAAATGCCGATCCTAATTTTCCGGCGGTACAACTGACAGCCAAGTCACGAACTCGAAACATGGTCGAGTCCCTCTCGCGAGTGCAATCAGGCTGCGTTTCGCGGGCTTGCCTCTTCTCCGTGGAGTAAAGATCGAGAGTGCGCCAAGTCATAAGCGTCAACAGTAACACCAGTGTGATTTTAACGCCCATAGGTTGAAAAAAGGGCCTGACGCATACGGTGAGGTTTTTGCGCGCCGATAATTTTCACATGTGCACATATACGTGTTTACCCAATGTACAGATTAGACAACCAATTCATAGCGCTCGCCGAAATAATATCGTCTTGTAACGAAGGCCAACATAATATGTTTTTGTACAATAGCTTGTAGTTAAGGTCCTCTTCATGAGAAGCTGTAACGGACCAGGTATTTACTTCGTTACTCGCGCAAATTATACTGTTGAGGAAGCTCGTGATAGAGCGACTGAGCCTTAGGTGTGTGATAAATCCAACTCTGACTTCATTTTAGGACCAGGGCGAAAGGTTCGACCGCGGGTCTGGCTCACCATATATCAAACAATATAGTGATAGAAATGCAGCGCACGCTAATTGTGTCTTGATGCACCTACGTATGTAAAAAAATCTACCTTCAATTGTAATGGAGGGGTCCAATACAGAAACCATCATATGTTGAGTCGCTGCTTAGAAAGAAGTAAGACGCGCAACCTCGATAAAGCGGTAGATTTTTCATTTTTGATGCTCCCAGCAACACAGCACAGATTGCATCTGACACATTCACCCTTCGTATCGCCTTATTAGCGCGAGGTCACTTTTTACAGTCGAGGTATCGCGTTAGCGCATCTATCACCACATTATCCCCATCCGGCTGATATTTTACCTGAATTGATAATTTACAATAACCAGCTTGCCGATATTGGCGATTTATGTGGCGATGAATTCGCTGCACATTGCAGCCCACGATCTGTTTAGATATCTGATGGCTTCGAGCCAAGCAGTTGATCCCTGAATTGAAAATATAAATATTGTCAGCAATTGGATGCCTGCTGTGATTAAGCTAGTCTTCCTCCGCCGCTTGAAAATGGCGAGACCCACATACAATGACGCGATCGTGCCCAACTACACTCTATAGAAGTAATGCGCAGACTATTACATAGGCTAAAGCGTCCCTGATGACTTAAACCGGCAGATTTAAATTTGAAAAAGCCTCAATCGGACCACTTTTTATGCTCTTTTATTGCCATATAGGCCACTCCACATCACCACTTTAATCTTTTCTTGAAGATTGGTAGCAAGCAGTGCTCGACTGGGTGCAACAAAAAGCTATTTGCCAAGTTCAGACAATTGTGCCGCTGGCACCACCAAAACTTCCTTGTCTGTGATGGGTTGTAGCATGCGCTGTAGAGCTCGTTCCGCATCGTCACAGAGGAACAATTTACAGAGATTCGATTGTTCGATTGACGACAAGTGCTACCAAGTGCAACGGGGTTGCCGCACACCTTCACAGAGTAAACTTCGGCTTGGATTTTCTGCTTTAGCAATGCATACAAACTGCGTTCGCATGCTCATCCTGGAGCGGAACCGAGAGCCCTTTGAGTTTCCAGTACTTCACTTTGTCTTTATTTTTGTTTGACAATGCCAATCTAAAAACTATATGGGTTATATGACGTCAGACTAACACCACACGTGTCTTGTCGCCCTCATCAGTACCAGTCATTTGGTACTTTGACCTTTTCACAAATTGGAATGCATGTTACGCTTCGTTATATCAAACGTGATTCAAGCAGAATAGCGAAGATTTAGCCCCTTCCCAATCCCGAAGAAGCATCGTCGTCGTAAAGAAATTTAAGTCTTAGCCTGCTTCTCTAGCCCTATAAGAAAGCAGGATTTCTGAAAACCGTTGGCTGTGACAAATGAGGTCACAATAAGTGCTTGTGCAAGACGAACTTATGCCAATGAAACGCAAGAGATTTGAGCTACCGGATCCACAACCTAGGATTAAGCTTTCTCTAGCTCTTGATGCTGGTAGGTATCCGATTTTTTTGGAGTCCGGGCCCCGTACCCCTAATACACAATGGAGCTTTTTTTGGCCAGTAGGCGTCCAACTATCACGCCCCCTTTCATGTGCGGTTTGGCAGGGCAGAAACACTTTTTAGGTGTGATTTATTGTTCACTTTAGCGATCTATCTCTGAGTTCGAATCCTATGGGTATTGAACGAGGTACCTCTTGTTTTCAGGTCAAGTGACTAACCACTTGAGCTCAGAGTCGGTAACGAATTGCAAGAGGCGAACAGAGTATCGGATCTATTAGATTTGTAGTAGAATTAGATAATTTCATATTAAAAAACTACTCAGTGGCCATATTTTTTTGGCTGTTTTATCAAAACCGGTATACAAACCAAGGAGTAAAGTATGAAACAGGCATACAAAAGGGTAATTAAGTAAATTCATATAAAAAAGAAATTGTCGTAATCAATCTATGTATGTCAAGCCTTTGGAATTGGATTAAAATCAAGACGCATAGCTTGCCTATGGCTCCGCCAAACAATAGAGATTAAAGGTGTTGTACGTAATCAGCGATAAATGCAGTCTCTGACGACCAATGAGTCGTAGGTTTTGTATGTGTGCATTTCCAACATACTCTTCTTGCAATCTGTACTAATTTTACATCACCAACAATGTACTAACAAAAGAATACACTCCTATTGAGTCTCGTAAATGATACGATGCATGCTTTGGATCATCGAATCTAAGAAACTACAGAGTCCTTGGCGAACCTCTTGAAGAATATGCGATGGAATGTCCATTTTGGTGTGATGTAACTTGACGCGAACAAAGCGCGTGAGGACCACCACGCGCTCATTTTCATCGTCATCACTATCTTCTAGATCTTGATTGTACGGAAAACCTTTCCCATACAACGGATGCAGAGTTTTCGGTGTCTTTCGTATGCGATTCGACGGTCTTTTGCGAAAGTGTTCTGTAAACTTCATTGCTGCACTAATGTCAATTCGAACACGTTCTTGCGGGATGTACGGATACAAATCGTCAATGTCAACAGAGTCGATAGCAACTAGACCATATGAACTTTGTCTTTCAAGATCAGCTTCTACTTTCGCATCCACAAACTTGAAAAACTTGACAATGTTCTTGTCAGCTTTGACGCCATGAGCCAAGGTGCAAACTAATCGATGATTCGAAAATGAATTCTTGGCCAAACTATCGTGATCTTCATTCCTTGGAATGTCGCCAAACATCTTAAAAAGACTGATCTCTGTATTTTGAAAATATACCTGCAGCGCCTCGAAAACCTGTCGCACAGAGCGCACCCCATAAAATGGCGTATTATCCATCTTTTCTGCACAGTAATTTCCATCTGACACTTCAAACTTGCTTTCCTGACACCACTGTGTTACTTGTGGTAAGAAACCAGACCTGTTATTGATAAATTCGTTCGCTTGTTGTAACTTTATTTCTTTCAGTCCCTCAAGAAGTGCTCGTCGCTGATCTAAGTTAGTCGTCAGATGGATGAACGTCTCGATTGGACAATTAGAACACTTCATCAAATATTCGACTGCTATCACGGAGTGTGCATTTCTCAGCAGCAAATCTTGCTTCCTTAACTCAGCTCGAAGCTTATCATTATCGTGCATTTTCAATCGCAGCTGTTCCTTTTCAGCAAAAAAAGCGTCTGGAATCCCACTAGCTTTCCTAAGCTGCGCAACTTGAAGCTTCAGTTTCTCTACCTCCATTTCAAGCAGCGCTTTTGTCTCTTTGCGCACAATATACGTAGGTTTCTTGCCTCGTTTCTTTTTCGTAGAGTATTCGCCTTCAAACACTGCTTTTTTTGCAGGCCTCCCCACTTTCCTCTTTTTAGGACTCGTTGAAGGTTCTGGCCTTGTCCTCCCACCTTTATGATACCACTCGGACATCGCTGGAGTGGTCTGGCCTTCAAACGTGTTACTAACTTCGTGTTTGTGCGTATGGCGGTTGTCCGCAGATGTCAGTTGGCTCAACGTCCAGTCACCACGTCGAATTTGCTCGTACTGCGGCTTACGACCTGATTTTACAGCCTGAATCAACGACAAAAGGTCGTCGGCCGCTGCAGCTCGATCGTTAGTCGGCCTGGGCAAAATTTGATGCCTCACCATACTTCCTGCATCCTGCGGAAAGGCTAAATTAGGGAAGGAAGGCGCTGGGGAATACTGATAGCCTCTAGCTTCTTGAGATCGCAAGGGCCTAGAGACATTCGTAATATAGCTGTGCGTGATACGATCGGCGTCGTAAGCATCTTGAGAAACTCTTGGCGACACGCGGCGGTCGACGATACCCATAGAGGTTACGTGCACTCTATGCTGCTTGACGTAGAGTGAAAATATTTTTTGGCGGTTCTTACAGTACATGGTGTATGTTGTGTACCGGGATCATTATTTATTTCATTTATATTATGGGCAGATATAAATATGAATAGGTGCAAGTATACCGGTACCAAAAATGATAACGCCTACATACTGTAAAAGTGAGATCAAAGAAAAATAATTTCCTGGAATTAAAATTACCTGCTACCAAGACCAGCTGTTTGCCAATGTAAGGCTCATAATCTGGTGGAGGTGGTGGATTTTCGGATCAGGTAAGAATATTGGATAATTTACATGTGTTGTAGTACGCCCGTCACGTCTTACCTCACAAAATCTGGTGAAACGGATGGGAATCCTGGGACTGAGTAGAGACCGCAAAATTTTGCTAATGAAATTCCGCGATTTTCCGGTGGTATATTGCAAAATCTATTTAATAAACTCTCCATCGCTAGTCACAAGAACATTCAAGTTCTCAGTACAAAATGCTGGAGAAACTCAGCTGCTGTATTAGGTGGTTATACTCGACACCATTATCCCAGCAAATTTCAATTTGCATCTTCTCTGACAAAAGAAGTTGCTTATATTATTAGTACGACGGCCCATTGTGAAGGAGTGCTGAGACAATCCACATTCTTAGAAGCTATACCGAATACTATAAAAATCATATATTCAGCTATTCCTTGAACAGTTTCAGCAGATATTATAGAATAGTACTGTTAAGCAGGACAAATGATTACGAATATACAATGTGAATTTTAAGTATGGGCGAGCTGTATTACCAAATTAGCCTATTTGCAATATTCAAACGCCACCATGTGAAGACTGGATATATTCAAATCTCAGTAGCTTTTCTAAGAGGCTAGGTATCCGCTCTGGTGGTATTCGGTTGCCCGTAATAAGACAAATTACCATGAATCAGCGGTCACAGCAACCTAAACGAAAAATACATGACTGACAGAGAAGAAAAGCACACCAACGCCGGACAGAAAGTAGGGAAAGAAGAATTTTAAAGTGCATATCTGCATTTTTTGATTTCAAGGCAACATACCGGTATTCCGGGTGTGAAAGTTGGACCTCGTCACATGTGCAGCTGCCATGGTAAAGAGCTGTTTGCCATTAGCGCAAGACTAGCAATAAGGTCAATTAACTGAAAAACATATGATCTGTTAAATAGCCTAGTAAAATATTGATCTGGCACCGGCTTAAAAAATTTGTTTAGTGCTTTGGGTATGGATAACTAGGACTAGACAACAATGAGCTATTGTCAAAATGAGCTGGGAAGATTTGTGCGTCAAGGAAGCGTATGTAGTTCACTGAAATATCATCATTGGTACAAAAGTCGTTCTCGACGATCGAGAGTGCGATCAGCACGCGTGTAGCCATCATATCCTCGCAGACTAATTGCACTGTTTCTGCCCCTTCCACAGCACTATCGAGAAAACGATAGCATGGAGACGAGACACAAGTTTATGCGTGTTTATGAGAAGGCCTTACAAGCTTTCTAGACAAGAAATTACTGAGTCCATTTGAATATTTTACTGCTATTTGAGAACCAACAATTTATTGCAATGCGACAATTTGACAAACTCATTAGAAATTACAATAGAAACGTAAAGTGAATAATAGCGGGTGGCTTGAAGTTCACGAAGGTCTCAACGCTTGTATGGATGATGGTACTATGTGCGCGTTACTACTGGATACGTGATCACCCGAGCTCGAGAGCCGGCCGATAAAATTTCTACTTCCATCAGGACTAAATCAATTTCATGTTATGGAAGTGACATTTGCTAGAAATCCAGAGATTTTAGTGATTTGAGTGGCTGCAGCTTCAAAATGCTCATATGTATGATACACTATGGTGGTGGTGGGGTGACATTCGAGAATATAATTAACAAGCTAGCGTGTGACAGCTCGAAACACGAAGCAAAGACAGAATGTAACGGGGATACGGAATTTAATATCCGATAACTTAGGTTCTTGTTTGTGATAGACTTTATAAGTGGGCGCTACTTTTGATAATCTTACAACCAAATTTCTTTGAAACCTTACCATTATCCCCCTAATTGGTTTTTAAAGCCACTTTTTCGATAATCATCTTGATTGCATTCCTTTTTCTTGACGATAACGTTGCCAAGTTTGGCTTTGCATCTAAGTTGAGCTCTGATGACTTCTTCGTACTTGGCAGAGACATAACTAAACGTGATGATGCCCTCATCGTGTCCAGTTCCTTTGATACATCATTCCTGTTTCTTGCATCTATCTATATCAAGTTCGAGTCGCAAGATCAATACGATTGGTTTTCTTCATTTCTCTTGATCGACATCAAAGTCATATTATAGGTATCATTCCCACGATGTGGTGCTAGAGATTGAATTGCCTTTGTTTGAATTCTGCTTACCTACTGTAGCACCACGGAGAAATGCGATTGGCCGCAGCAGGTTGGTCGCTGACAGAAATTGACTGCTTCATTATTTGCATAGATGTAGATAAGCCCTCCACTTGGAAAATACCAACCAAATCTACAAGGCAAGTTAGGGCATTAAGGTAGTCGCTTGCCAATTATCGTTAAAAAACGTCATCTATAGGTGCCGTTTCTTAACCTTGTTCTAAACAAGTAGAGGAGACCTAACGTAGTATGCGCTCTACAAGCTAATACTAAGATGCAATCGGACGCGAATTCACAATATGGATAGTCGGGAAAATCAACGGTTTCAGTTGCAGGTGTAAAACGTGCTCTTTCACCTCGCACTAAGTTGTGTTGATGTACAAGACCCATTTTAACCTGAATAATTCGTAACGGAGACAGTTTGCGACGGAGACAGTTGGTTTTCTTATTACTCTCATGAGCATGTGGGCGGTGTACCCTGTTATGATTTACATATACACTTCACAATAGTCCTACGACCTTATAGAACGGTACTAATACAGTACCGTGGTGGCGTACCGTGACCGATATGGCTCAGAGATCTGGCGCTAGTATACCTACCAAATTGCACAGAGCAAGTGCTAAACTCAAAAGTGCTGTGGAGATCTACCATGCTGAAGTACCACAAGGTTTGAGATCGGAGTGTCAGCACTCCAAAGGTTCGTGAAATATGTGGGTTAAGTGGAATTTCTAAATTAAGCAATATTCAGTCTTTGGTACTTGGGTGAAGATGGACTGCTTTTAAACTACTTCTCTGTAACGGAATCTACGAGCCGAAATCTTTCTTAGTGCAATGATCCACGACGACCAGAAGCTGAACAATACAAGACCGGCTTACATATGTCAGATTTTTGTACTTCTTGATGACCACGGATTGCGATTTATCTGTGTTCGACCACCATGAAATTCTGACTGGTGTCATCATCTTCTGGCTGATGAGAGCTTAACGGGGACATATAACAGTATCCGTAAAAAACACAAGAGTATAGAGCATATTAATACGGTATGGCTCAGAACTCAGTGTATGAACAACGATATTTAAAGAAGATTGTTTTATCCATTTGTAATACTTTCTCGGCATCCCTATGCAATACGCGCGTCCAATTGCAGTAACTCGCATATCTTAGCATTAATTTTGCAATGTGACCCGTTTTTTCTTTGTGTATTGTAACAGTTTGATACTTCATGTAAACGTCCGTATCTCGCACTCACCTCAAGACGAAATACAAAAATAAAAGACCGTTTGACTGAGAGAAAACGCCGAAATTTGCTGAAGTTTTGAGCCACGATACACGATAAATGAATTGTATAAGCCAGCAACAACGTCAATTTGTTTAAAAAAGAATTATGAGATAATAATCGGTTTGACTTTGGATATGTAATATGTAGCAGGTCTTATGTAAATAAATTGATCACTCTTCCTGTTCGAGCCATTATCTGATAAATCAGTAATAGCAACAGATCCTAGTATCCCAAGCCCTGGGGAGTCCGAAAGGGCATGAAGACACTTTAAAGCAAATACATCTCTAAGCTTGGTACTGCATGGCTTTACTTGGGAGAGATGATACATAGGTGAGCGTTCCGACAATAGCCAAGATCTCTAAAGTGGATCCAGACGATTGTCGCGCATTTTCGGTTGCGCGGGGCTAGAAAAATGCTGCACACTTCCTTTAACGACGGCATCTAATCCTCAGTTTGCTCGGTTTCCAATGAGCGATCAGTAGTAACCTAGTGCTCGATACCTAAAGTTGGCGCTCAAAAAAATTGCTTGCTCTTGTGATATCAATGTGCTTAAAGCTCTGCGATGGGCAGAGCTTTGTAGTGCACGGCGACTCTTATCTTCACGATTAACTTTATACGTCGTGTTGTTATCTAGCAGGCTGTAATCATCCTATTGATGTTATACAATAATTAAATTGCGAGCTAAAAACCGTGACTCTTGCCATCTTTTTTAATCGCACAGTATGTTGAACAATCGCTTAGAGCATAAACGAAATGCAAGACTTTTTGATAAGTCCGCGCACAAACGCACAACAAAACGCAAAATTAGGGGCGACGCCGTTTGCTCAACCTCGGTCTCCGGATGATGCGAACACGACTATGCCATATAGTACGCTGGCAAGAGTGATCTGTAAACTTTAACTAAAAAGACATTCTAATGGTAATGCGATTGCCCGTAGCAAAACAGACTTACCACCTGAAAGATTTTAAAAAGCTTAGGTTAACTTTCTTCTAAAGGCTAAATTCTGTTTGAAAACGCCTAAGTCACTGCTTTCTGCAAAGACTTGATCGCTGAACATCATGTAGATACGAAATTGCGAGTTGAATACGCAACATTAGCATTTCGTTCACTACGTATGCATATCGTCACCATGATTGTACGAGGGCATGTGAATAAGTATAAACACTGACTTTGAGTAAAACTGAAAAATCTGACCGCGATGCTGCTACATACCTAAATGACGCGATAGCATGGAAATATGTCAACCCAGATTCCAATGTTTAGCTAATGCTTTTCAACTCTGGGTCAGACAGAACATTCCTTGCTGTGGACTGCACCGGCTTGTTGCAGTAGTTATTTGAATTTTTGCTAGAACGCCAGTTTGGCTGTCTTGAACAACCAATCAAGGTCCTCACCGTTTTAACATTATCGTGAAAAGCAACAACCCGTTCCAATCCCGCATGTCATCGTTCTCGAGCCCGTATCAGCGCCACAAGAACGACGAAGGAGTCTGTGTAGTCTACAATGCTGATCGCCATGCAGCTGCTGTACTTACAGGTCTAGGCGATTGCGCAAATAACGATAAACATGGTAAAGTCGGAGCGGCACCTTTTTCATTTTATTCAGAAGGCGACATTGCAATCAAATCGGTAAATAAAAAGCGGAATTATAGAAAGCGGAAAGCTACGCATACGGTGCGCAAAGAGGAGAAGCTAGCACTTGAGCAGGAGATTGAAATACTGCAAAAAGATCTCGAACTGTTAAAAATGAAGGTCATAATCGAAAATGATGGAAAGACACAGTCAGACCGAAAGCGTTTGGCCAAAACGATTGTTTTGAGAGAGGCTGTGCAAGAGAAGCATTTGGTGCTGGCTAGAGCACACGCAATGCTAGCAGGGCATTCTCAACAATGGATCTACAGAGTGCATCCGACAGAAATCACAATTCGACTGGGAAACGACAGAGGCGAAAGATTGAGAACTTTGAGTGCGCTCGGAAAACCTAAATTGGAGATAGCGAGAAGGTATCTAATGGAAAGAGCTCGAGGATTGAGTTCAACGTCTCCGTATTTTCAGGAAGAGCGGTACACTACGATTAATGGCGATTACTGTGTTGAGCGATTTGACGTGATTCCTTTTCGAGGAGCCAGACTTAGCGTGCAAGAGGTATTTGCAGCACTTCAACAGGCAACTGTCAACGCCGAAATCATTGTTTCTGAATTGTCAGGTAATATCACTATTCGGGATGATGATGAACTGGAAAATGAACATTTCTCGCATAAGCGCTTTGTATCGCACATGTCGCAGGGTGTACAAATCGAATCAAACCTCGTGCTCTTCTCGGACTTGCAAGAAGGTGGGCACGACTGTGATGAGAATAAATGCTATGCGATCATGGCGTCGGAATTTGTCGATGATGATGCAAAATACCCGTACAGACCAAATGAACGCATCAGGCGCGACTTGACGACAGTTACAATGGTGACGTCGTGTCGAGAGACTTCCGTTAACGGGATGAACCCCAATACCATTGAGTTTGTGGTGGTTGTCAAGCGGTGGGCATTGACGATTGTACGACAGCCTGCTATGTTTGTACCCGATCTTGTTTGGAACGAAATACGCTACGATCAGGTGCGGTGGGCGGACCTTATGTTTAACTGCGTGCGTCAGACACTCGGATTGCCCGTGGAGCAATAGAGCTGTCTAAATTCGGCCGTCATGACTTCTTGTGTTATGTTTACGATAAAAGTTAGTTCCTAAAGAGCTAAGATGCATCGATTTAAGATTTGCTCAATTAAATAAAATTAGCGCGAAATGATACAATTATTACGTTGGGTGCAATAGATTTAGAAGATTCGAAATGGCTAAACAATAAATGATGAGGAGTTTTGGGGTTCCCTTGTGCACTTTGGTGCACGTGAGCACCACATGCAACAGCTATCGCACACCAATAAACCACGCATTCAGAAAACTCTAGTGCTTGAACTCAGCCTGGACTTCCATCTCACTGCAGTGTCGTTTTACGACGGTGGGGTCACAGCAGTGGTGGTTCAGGCCCAATTTCAAGTCAGTAATACTTAGTCCGCCCAAAGAACCAACAAAGTTTTTCTGTCTTCTGAGTTAGCAGTAATACGAGTTTTTCTGCCTCCTCTGGCCGCAGGAAAGCAAAAATTCCTGCTGCCTAAGGCCACAAGGATACCCCCAGATTTCTTGCCTCACAGTAAAAGAAATATCCCTACTTTCTTAGCGGCACTACCAGCTCTAAGTTTGGGCGCACGCCACCTTTGACTCTCCAAATGCACTGCATGGTTTTGACACGCTCAAGGCTTGTGGCGGCGAGCCCTTGTGTGCACTTAAACTCACTAGTGACCCGGTAAGGCGACAGGCATGCTATTCAGCTCGGTGCCATCCACATCAGCGTAAATGCTTACAGATATATTCACAGCTGTGCTTTTTAACCGCGCTTGGTTCCAGAAAAATCTGGCTTACAGAGGCAGATCTTAGCAAGTTCAACATCCAGCGATGTGGCACCACGCGGAAGACAAATACAAGCCCGCCGGACCTGTGGCGTCCACACCAGTACATGAAGTGTTATAAATGCGTGTAACATCCAGTTTCACTGACAATCACTGTGCTAATTTTGATGGGGTTTTCTGCTTGAAATCAACAAATCATGCTGGTAAACATACACCGCCGGTATTTTTTACCTCAATAAAGTCGTGTTTCAATCAATGTCATAGTGCTCATCAGTTTTTTGCTACCGAAAATCATGTTGTGAATAAGCATCATCACGTCGAGCCACGTCTGATTGACAGTTCATGATCCAACCTCTCGTACCACGAAGTCTTCGTCCGTAGTACTTTTTATTGCAAGGCAGTGAGGCCGCACGTTGTACATGTATGCTACGTCGGGACACTCGCCTGGATTACTCACACCGTCTGAAAGTGCAATCTTCGCGATATCCATAAATTTTTCATCGTACCAATCGAATAAATTATTGCGAAGTGTTGCTTCACACCGCCCCTTACAATGACGTTAAAGCAATAATTTATCCGATTGTAAGACCTATCATTAATTTATACCAAAGCTACGATTAATCCGCCTATTCCTATTGATATCGTTCGCTCTATTTTGGCGACAGAGGCGCTTAGATGTTATACTGTATTATGCATGCGTAACCTCTCCGTCAGCGACTGCACCAAAGGATCTCACCGCTCTGCTGATGTATGGTTGGTACGGCAGCTTGCGATTCGAGAATTGAGCTAGGTACACATCTAGCCTCTCGAAAAGATTTGCATTGCCGCCCTCAATGTACTGGTCCTGCCGCAGCCATATCAAAGTCAACTTGTTGATAAGTCGCCGCAGCTCTTAGTTTGTCGCTAAGTCAGTATGAAGGAAAGATGTGCAAGATCTACAACAGGTCGTATTGCAATACTCCGTCATCGTGCTGTCCAGCTTATCACCAAACCGAGCTAAATGGCTCGGGAACCCAATTTACTCGTTTAAATGCGCAAGCGACACACGTCTGCCGATACTATTACGCCGCGACTATGACTTCGGAAAATTGGAAGGCGTTCAGCGCACTGGAATGGGGCCCTGACGCGCTTATTCGTGCAACCTTCCCGCTCACACAGAGAGCAAAACCAGCAACTCAAAGTCGCTTTGCGAGCGCTCTGTCATGTCATATATCAATACTCGTTAAATTATGCTTGCGTTCGAGCTTCGGCGGTTCAGAAATCAGTATTTCCTTAAGAGATGTACTTTGGAAACTGAAAGCACCGTTCTCACTTTGCGGGTTGGGTGAGAAAAAAGTGTTTTCTCATCCAGCTAGCGAAAGCTTCAGTGAGGTGGACGTCCTATTAGAACGTTGAGTCATGCTTGGCTTTGCGCGATCCAGAGCACGATACTTCAGTGACAGCGTGTCAAACTTACAACAAGCTGGCCTACACGCGCCAGTGGGAAGCGCAACACTGCCTCTTCATGAAAAGAAGATGAAGCTGAGGGTGTATCACGTTATAAGCGGCAACGGCGCCACGGCAATCATGTTAAGGGGGTATTTCGAATCATCTTGTGTTTTCAAGTTAGAAGTAGTTCTTCCGTTACACCAAAAAGATGCTGGTAACACCTCTAGTGTATCTATCGGTTTGCTGATCATGAAGGCGGGCTACTTTTGCTAGTCAAGCAAGACCGGCTGATGTTGGCCCTCATGCGGCTGGCTCTCGCGAGCTCTGTCTGTTGTCGACTCTGTCCAAGAGTCACGGCGTGCGTTCGAGGCTGAGATGAGTCGGATATCAGATTTGCTTTCTGAGATTCGCCATCGCGCTGTCACCCCTTTTTGGTTGAGAATTGCATAGCCGCTCTACAGCAGAGGAAAACTTAACTACGTGGAATGGTAGAGATCCTGCTTCGTCTGCAACAGGGTGCTCTCCATTTGACTTGTTCGTTGCTGTAGGATAGTGATGTGGCTTTTGCAAGCTCTTAAACATAGAATAAGGCTCCCGAGACTTGCATATTTATTCAATCCCTTTCTCGCTAAGACGGTGGACATTGCAATGTAGTTACTACACAGCTTTCGTCTTGTTGACCGTAGACATGTAACGATTAAATCTTATCTCACACTACAAACATGTAACTTAACTGAAATGTTGTTGCTCTAACGTTTCCTGACTCTCAGCTATTTTGTCGCGCACGGAGCGCATGACGCTCTATAGCCGGGCTGATATCAGCATGTTGCACTGTATCTATAGCCCCCCCACCAAAACCGTATCAACTTCGTGGCGGTCTCAAAGGAACCAGGGTTCACCAGAGCATTAGTTTGCAACGGAGTGGGTCTATTTAGGCATGCACTGCTATATTCAGCGCAAACTCAATGTGTGGAATAAAGCCGTTTTACCGCCGCGGATTCCCGTGCAAGTACTTTTAAAAATCACCTTCACCGCGTGCTTAGCGCGTTCCGTCTGACTATTTATCTGCAGATGGCCAACGGTTGGTATACCCAGTCTAGCGCACAAATCGTTGGCAAAGTTCACTGAAAATATTGTTGTAAAGCGAGATTCTTTACATTGACAAATAATGTTGGCGAGGAACTTTGAGAAAAAGTTTGGCTGCATTTTCACCGATAACGATATAGCTGACAGCAACAAAATCAGGCGTTATATTCGGAAGACCTACAACGACGGTAATGCCAGTTTTTTGCTTGCACTCGTGCGCCCATCGACTCATACACGATAGACAGCTAGCACATAGCCCTCGCCGAGCATCATGAAACAATACTTAACGCCTTGTGTTATGTGGACACCGCTGTCGTTCAAAAAGTTCTGGAATAAGGGTTAGTTGTTTAGGCGTAAAACCACGCGCTTTGATAGAGCGACATCTGAGTTTTGTAACCTCTTGATACCAAGGATATGTGATTTTTAAAATTCGACTTGTCGTCCGCTGTACGGCTACAGAAAAATATAGCGTCGCGGTCTGTGCATAGCAACGTTGGGTTTGAACAAGGGACACCAGACAATTGAGCGTTGCTGATGTATTAAGCAGTCCCGTCCTTGTAGCATCTTAAGCTAATCCCAAAGCATCCTGACCGAAAGTCTCGATATAATGATAGGGCAACGCTGTCTCTAATGAGTGCTAATATTCACATTAACTGAGTCAACAGTTGTGAGCAAATTGCAACTAACTGTGCAGTTCAACAAAACGTTTTGAAAAATTGTCGTTACGCCGGGTCTTGGCTTCATTTGACTTGATAGTAGCATATACAATTTGCCACTTGCCGTTAGCCTTTCTGACTCAGGAAGTTGGCGCCGTCTGCGGGAATTTATTATACCTACTTCGTGCTTTCCATGGAAGTTCTTGTGACGCAATATTGGTTCCGGAACTCAAGTCAGTTCACACGCACACTCGTATCCCTGAATCAAGTTGTGCGGTGGGTCTCTTGTCATTTTTTACAAAGATAAAAGGAATCATCAACCTAGTAGCTAGGTGACGTAGTCTTTCCATTAGCCATTATGAATATTGTCAATGACAAATTAAATCATGTCGAATGATGAGCTGAGCTCACCAACCGCACCGTTTGATTAAGCTTTCGTTTTGAAGCACCTCACACATACTTCTCAGGATGAACCTTTAGCTGTAGAGCTGCTTCTGCTGGCTATAGTGTGGAGTATATTATCCCCTACAATTACCCCGCTTACTACGTGCGTAAGTAAAACCTTTTCTCGCTTATAACGCTTCACTACTACACGGTCGACGTGCTGCACGGTAACACTAAGTTAGCAGCACTGTTACATCGAGACAAGGATATTGCATCTTTCTTGATGACAGAAGCCTAACCTTTTTTGATTTGCAGGTCATTGGACCACACCAGCCCCTGCACAGGAGACACCAACCGTTTTCTTACTGTTCCACCGAAGTTACACGCTGGGAACCACGACATACAGTACTTCTTTTTTCGACTCAAGAATAATACACTCTGGATATTGCGGTATCAATTGCTTCTTTCTGTCACAGCAATTAACCACCACATCTGCCTTTTGAGTCCTGATCTAGGCACATGGCAATACTATTGCTAGCCGGCTTTGTTTATTTCATCTCGTGCGCAGAAACTATACTTGCTACGTGCACGCTTCTGTTCTATGTGAAAGGTTGATTGATGAATTCTCAAAGCCCTACCAGAACAAGGCACAGACCTTTGTTGACAGTCTTTCAAATCACGGATCAGCATAGGATCATATCTTGAATCCAGATCCCGGACGAGACAACGTTGTCAATGTTCTTGGATTTCATTTCGCAAGCCGCATGTATCTTATATCCGTAGTTGCATCTACAATGCCATGGCGCACTGTTTCCTGTTTTTGACAGTCGCGCTACGTGCGTCGCTGCACGACGTCTTCTCGCTTATCGTCCTCGTAGTTCTTTTACTTTGGTATTTTATTCGGGTTTCATAGCAAGTAAAGTGTACTCGTTTTCAGTGCAATACCCACCGCTTCTTTAAATTGGACTAGTGGGCGTGTTTGATCGTGACGCGAGTCCCACCTGCTCTGAAACCCTTCCTGAAAGGTATGCTATACCGGCTCCGCAAAAGCGTCCGGTGTCATTGCGATGATAAGAGCTAGTACCTTCGATTCATGATCCGTTTGCTCCGCCTTTCATGACTGCTGGACAAGATCTTCTAGCGCACTCTATACACCCGGTTAGGCGGTGCAAACATCCGCGATGTATGTCGCTTTAGATATTTCGATGTCGAAAAGTCTCTTCCGCAGACTTACATTTTTTAGCGCGCAGTCTCTCAAATGAAAGACCACAAAGTCGACGTACTATCACTTCGTCAGGGATTATGTCGAATTTGCGGCATGAGATAATATGCTTACGAATGAGCGGTCACCGAATCTGGCCGTTGTACCGCCACTGATCTTATTCGGACAGCAACAAACAGGACATCTCTAGCAAATTTTGTTTTCTTGTAGACTGGTACCCCATCATCTCGTGTCCCGGATGTACAAATTATCCCGGCGCGGTTGTGATATTGGCTACAAGTGAACCTTATAAAAACGAGCTCGCCGCGCCCTTGCACAAAGAACTTTGACTTGAAGAGTCCGCGTTAACAAACTCTGTGCACTTAATTTTGTACAGAAGCGAAACCAAAAGTCTAAATGCAAATAGATGCCTAGGTCGCTCTGCTTTTCCAAATGTGTTTTCTACGTAAGAATACGTTTTCCCATATCTCACCGAAAAGTGACTAAGTTACTTGACTTGTGGCTGGTAGCCCTAGTGTACGCCGCACTTCTCCCCCACGAAGTTCCGCCATCGATGTATGTATTGATGTATTGCAACTCATAACTACACCCAAACACAACAGTACAATGTATATCACGTCATACTGTACAATAATGTATTTTGCACGATATTACAATGTGTACTGTGTAGAAACATGCTACTACCGTATAGACGCTATCCGCAATTCAACAGGTCTTCACCTTTGATTACTAATTGCCTGATAGCCTTGACTGAACACATCGCCTCAAAATTTTAAGATTTTACTGCGTTCAGTAAATTTGGTAAAAATCCACGACATATGCCGCGGGTTTTTCAATGGTGGGTATAATTGGATGGCCATCGATCGGTCTGGGCTCGCTGATGAAAGCGCTTGCGTACGACGACAAGCCCAAAACGCATCGCTTGATGCCGCCCTTTGCATTACGGACAAGGGCCCTCTTATGATACTATATGCACTGTTTTGACACGCATCACCATTCAATTTCATACGTCGAAACATCTCGATTGCGTTGTCGTGATCAAGTTGACCGGACCGGATTTAAATTATTTTAGCACTCTGCTCCCAGAAGTCCACGCAAGCATCATCTCCATTGACTCCGTTGTCAATTGTAGTTGAGCGCAAGATGACTGTGCGATGGGTGAGTTGGGTTCATGCCCATCTTTTCACGTACATTTCCGCAACTCAGCCTCCACTGAGGATATCGCAGCTCCAAATTACTAAATAACAGTTGAGCTAAGGCCATATTCAACAATCTAGGGATCCAAAAAACCACCAAATTCTCGCTTTGATGCAGGCCGTATCTTACTATATTGCTGGCGGTGGGATCGAGAATTCCATATAAGAATATAGATTTACAGCACATACTAGGACAGAAGCTTTGATTCTGGAGCACAAATTCTGCAAGAATCGAATAGTGGTATAAACGTGTAGTTGCGCTTCGCTTCTACGCAACATTTAAGAGTCAGTAGATGGTGCACATAACGCTAACAACACAAGCCAAAAATGACCAACTGCCAGCCGCAATTTGCTCCAGCCATCCACGGTAGACAATGTTCGCACAAACACACAAATATTTTCTCACACGCCTACACTCCGTCCCCTACTTCCAGGATCCGCGAGAGCTGTCGCGACAACGTCGAGGCACTTGGTTCACCGCAAATTACGATACCACGATTCAAGACAATGGACATCAACGACAATCATGCTCTATTTGGGCCGGTGGAATCCAGAGTCAATTTAGCGACGAGATTAAGCGATCTTGTCCATTCGCGCTGCTTTAAGCCCGCTGGGTGATGATTGTCAGGACTGAACTTGCGGTATGCGCACCGCGTCAATCAAAATCTTCCCATCGCTCAATGACCATGACAACCTCATTGTTTAGCAGCAATTGGGACAGCAGCACTTGATCATCCCATCAGAGTCCGTAGCGGTAATCTTCTCGTTGAGGTGAAAACGAAGGAACCATGCCAGAACCTTGCTGCTAAGGAAATCAAGATCCTCGGGGTAGGTAGTAATCTGGAAAGTTTGACATTCTTTTTGATATATGTCGAGTGTTGCCAGTACTTTGAACACTATCTGCGTGTTGAGCTGTATTTTTAACTTAGCGCAGAGTCGATCTTACTTATGCTCTTAGATATAAATTTGTACGCGCGTACACCACGGCCACTGTTAATTTGCTCGTTTCGGTGCCCATCATACCTCATTTTTTGCGGCCCTATGTAAATTTTTGCTTAATTTTGCTAGACGCAGCTACGCAATAGATACTTACGGGTTTAAAATTTAGCGCATTGATAAATGTTCAACTCATCCGGTCAATCCATCGGACGACCTTGCGTGCCGTTGCGCTGCCACCGCACGAGGCCGGACGTTGATTCGGCCAACCCCATATCCTGATACAATAAAGTTGAGGCATTCCGATAGTTTCATTTCAAACTTTCGACCCGAGAAAATCTACCACGGCAGCGGTCATTGTCGCTGCCGCAGCCCAAAACGACGTTTCAATATCCAGCAAGGTCAACAAGATATCCCTTGGCACTGCGGGCTCTCGAGTTGTGTCGCCACCAGAAATTCCGACATTTGCTTAGCTTCTGTTGCCCTCACCGCTGACACCAGCGTTCTGATACGGGTTGGTACTTCCTACAGGTGTTCAGTCTAACGGAAAGCATATCCGTGGTAAAGAAAACTTTGCCGGCATGCTAAAAAAGTTTATTTCGCCGGAATACGGCAAGAAATTACTCAAACGCACTTAGCACTGTTGAGTTTGATATCTACGAAGCAACGTTCGATGACGTTACGATCCCGATTCTCTCAGATCTAGCCGCGAACGTTGCAAGTCCCGCAATATCGAAGGTTCATCAGTCAAGGCAGTCATTTCTTTACCAATTACCACATCAAAAAGATCAAGAAACCGACTTCGATTCAAGAGACAACTAACAGGATCAAATATGCCGAAAAATACCTCGTCTTTACTGCTTCGGGTGCTTGGTTGTCTTTGATGGCACAATGGGTGGTCTCCACACCGTACGGCAGAAACCCTGATAGACCACATTCCTAAGATCTGTCGAAGCACAAATGGACTCTACCACCGCGCTTTTGCGTCAGATTCGCGAGCTTAGCCCTTTCATTATCCAGCTTGCTTGACTTCACATTGTCAATTGCATCTTCAGCGCAGCCAAGCCAACTGAGGCTGAGGTGTTGACCCAAAACTGACGACACCAATGTGCTTAAGACACGCGACGATGTGTTTCAAAGTGTTGCCTCATTGAAAACTCTCACGCAGCGACCAGTATTGCGGATTACCAGAAAGCTGTCTCTCGTGAAGGTAATAGTGATAAGCATTGCACCAATAATATCTGAAAAAAATCTGTTGACGTCAACGTCTAATTGTGAGGTCAGTACCCTGTTTCCAGCACACAAAAAACATTTGCTTCACCGCAACATGTCATTGTTTTTACTTCGCTTACACGTCGGCACCCAATGCTTTGAACTCTGAAAGCAACTCCAATAGAGGTACGCATGATGATTGCGGAAATGCGTCCATTTCTTACCACACACTACAGAAGTGCTTCAACGCTAGCAAACCGAAGCTCATTTTGTGGTTAAGGCCACTGAAGAATTAAGGTAATTTTACGTGTAGATGCACCCGAGAATTAATTCCAACCACTAACAAGCAAAAATACAGGCATCTACTTATTTAGCATGTATAGTCTTTTGTATTCAAGCGACCAAGTTCAAAGTCTTTATACTTTCCAGCTCAATTCCAAAACCAAGCGATATGTCGGTCACCCTGATGCGGTTAGGGCTCCGCGAACAACTCATCGATTTTTATTGATGTGATCACTGTAATGAGCAATAATTTCCAGGTTTCGACACGGCTCAGCGCAAGGCATCTGCAAATATGCTATACAACAAGGGCTCGCAAAATGACTTTGGCAACTTCCAACCAATCTCGTTTGCTCGCGTCGATGGAAAGGCTTTGTCCAAATGCAAAACTCATCCGATCAGCTCTCAGGGATCCCCATTATCTATCCCGCAATGACGGCATTATGTTTGCTCATACGCCAGAATCTCGGCATGCTATTTCAATTCATCCTTTAATTGACCTCGATCCAATCTGATTGAACCACTCCAGACTTTGAACAAATATCAATCGTGTTGCTCACATGGTGTTGCTAAAATCCTATCAATTTTTCGTTCGTTGATCCAATGTGTCACTGTGCCCTCCTTCGAAACGTTCTTTTCTCCCGGTAGTCGTGAAAGTGTTCTTATCAGGGCTATGCGATCAAGTGGGAGGCTACATCATGAGTCCTCATCCCTCTTGCTCATTTCGACTATGTACTTAATTATCTAAACTATTACCACGTCGAAGCCGGTTTTGTGTGCGACAAACCCCGCCGAAGACACGACGTTTGCAAACAAGTGAAAATAGACCATGGGTTCGGCAGTACCATCGAAGCGCGCAGACATCTTCACAGCTTGCAGTGCATGGTGGACACACTCCTACGCGATCACAGAGTTGTTACGAGCAACGAAGGCTCTTGGCATGTTCGAGGTGGCTTTGATGGCGACCGCTCCGATGCTCTTCAAGAACGACCACTGGATCCAGTATTT